TAAAGGGTTAAATTGAGACAGAAACAAAATTGATATAATCTAACATAAGAATCAAGAAGAAAAAAAAATCCTTTTTCTATTAGCATTTAAGATCCATGGGCTTTACCTTATAAGATAAAAATAACTTATAAAATAACAATTAAAATATTATTTCATAATAGAGGCATAATACAACTAGAAAATAGCAAGAGAAAGCTAGAAGAGACAATAACATAAATAAATAACTTATTAATAATATTAATAATATTAATAATATATATTATTTTATTACTATGTTCAAATTTATAATAAAATAATTTGAAGGATTCAAGAATCTATATCCTTAGTTTTTTCAATCTAATTGACTTTCACAACCTGTGAGAGAGAGATCAAACCACTTATTTTCTACACGTAAAAAAATCATATTACAATATGACCAATATACTACTATTTTATTACTATGTTCACATTTATAATTAAAACAATTCAAGAATCTAAATCCTTGGTTTTTTTTATTCTAATTGAGTTTCATGACTTGGGAGACAAAGAACAAACCACTTATAAAAAATAGCAGCATGTAAAAAAGGAGCTAAGGTAGTAGGGCGAGAAATAATTGGTTTCTTTATTATACATTATTGGGAGTTACTGCAAGATAGAAAAAAATAGAGAGCGAGTGAGAAATAGAGAGAAATAGAGAGAGAGAGAGAGAGAGAAACGGTTGAGAGAGAGACCTTTAAGAGGAAAGATTTTCAAAAAATAAATGGGAGAGAGATTTTATTAAACAGAGAGATAGAGATACGATAGAGAGGAAACCATAGATATAAATTAGGGAGAGGAGAGATTTTAGGAAAAGTAAATAGAAGAGAGATTTTAGGAAAGAGGGAGAGAGAGATAGAAATGGTAGAGAGGGTAACTGTAAACGATATAAAAAAGATAGACATAAGAGAAAAATTAGAAAGATATAAGAGATTTTTTAAGGAAATGTGTAAGAGGGAAGGAGAGAAAAAAGGAAAAAGTTGTGGGGGGTGATTTATTAGGAAAGAGAAAAGATAGGACACGTGGCACAAAACAGGGGGAAGATATTTAAATAAAGGTATAATAGGGAGAGAAAAAAAAGAAAATCGTGTGGATGAAGGGGGAGATTTATTAAGAAAAAAGAAAAATGGGACACGTGGCACAAAAATAGGAAAAAGAGAGAAGATGAAATCTTGTAGATAAGGGGAAGATATAAGAGGGAAAGAGAGAGAAAATCGTGTGGGGATGGGGTGGGGGTTGTGATTTATTAGGAAGGAAGAAATATGGGACATGTGGCACAAAATAAGGGGATGATATTTAAAAAAAGGTATAATAGGAGAGTGAAGAGAGAAAATTGTCTGGGTGGGGAGAGAGATTTATTAAAGAAGAGGAAAAATGGGACGTGGCACAAAAATAGGTGGGCAGAGAAAAGATGAAATCTTGTAGGTATGGGGAGAGATTTATTAAAGAAGAAGAAAAATAAGACACGTGGCACAACAATAGAGGAGGTATTCCTCTTGCTATTTTTGTGGAGGTATTCCTCTTGCTTAATATATAATAGATATCTCAAGCTTAGGACCAGAAAAACATGTGGCTAAAAATAGTACTTCACCACTCATTTCCACAAAATAGAGAACATAAGGAGCTATTGGCATAGAAAGATCGATAAACGCCTGCATCACTCTGTTTCAAGAAAAACCCGAGTGGAAATGGCAAGAATGAGCTCAACGACGAGGCAATTTCAGAAATTTTACCGGCATACTTTAGAGTCAACCATTTAGTAGGGCTCCAGACAAACAGTACAATGAGAAGGTGTTGATTAAGATTTACCATTTGCTGATGGTGCACAGTAGATTATGGCTGTTCGTAGGAAGCAAGAAGGTTAAGGCCATTAACATTTTCCCATCAAGAGGTACTAGGATGAGAAAATTTATTGGTGACATGGCCAAATTCCTAAATAAGTCTTGAAATTAATTGCCATATCTTGAAAATTTTCGAAATTTCCAATTAGTAAATGGTTCATCTCTCTCTCTAAATAAGAAATGGGTACAATAGTAATTTATACTTTTTATTAAAATGCTAAGAAAAACATTAAAAAATAGTAAGTAGGCTAAACTAAAGGTATATAATAATCTATACAGTAAACTGGGACCAAGAAATGGTGCAAAAGATGTCTTCAAACTAGCAAAAATGAGAGAAAAAATGCAGAGATCTAGACCATATTAAATGCATTAAGAGTGAGGATCAAAAGGTCTTGGTGAAGTATGACGAGGTCAATGAAAGGTGGAGAATAATTTTAAAAATTACTAAATGACAAACACAATAGGAACATAGCGGTAGCAGGAACAGTTGACATAAATGAGGGCGAAGGTCATAGATACATTCGTAAGAGGATATCAGAAGTGAATGAAGCTTTAAAAATGATGAAGATAGGGAAGGGTTTAGGGCCATGGTATCCTAATAGAGGTTTGGAAGCACATGGGAGAGATTAGCATTGACTGGCTGACCAAATTGTTCAACAAGGTGTTGAGAATAAAGAAAATGCCAGATGAATAATAGAAAAGTACTGTAGTACCTATTTACAAGAACAAATAAGATATATAGAATTGTGCATACTATCAAGGGATCAAACTTATAAGCCACGCTATGAAGCTCTGGGAGAGAGTTACTGAGCAACGACTAAGACATGAAACGAGTGTATCAGAAAACCAATTCGATTTTATGCCAAGAAGGTCAACAACTGAGGCTATTTTCCTACTTAGGCAATTGATTGAGAAGTTTATGGCGAAGGAAAAAGACTTTCACATGGTCTTTACTGATTTAGAGAAAGCTTATGAGAGAGTACATCGAGATTTGATTTGATGGGTGTTGGAAAAGAAATGAGTCACTAGACACTAAATCGACTTAGTAGAAGATATGTACGATGGAGCATGACTAGTGTACAAACAACTAGTGAAGAGATGAGCGAGTTTTCCATGACAATAGGTCTACATCAAAGGGTCAGAATTGAGCCCATACCTCTTTGTCTTAGTTATGAACGACTTAACTAGGCACCTACAAGATGAGGTACCGTAGTGCATGTTGTTCGCAGATGATAGTTTTGATTGACGAGACCCAAAACAGCATCAACACAAAGTTAGAACTTTAAAGGGCTGCTCTAGAATCTAAAGGTTTTAAAATTAGCCAAACTAAAATAGAATATACAGAATGCATGTTTAGTAATAATAGAACTACAGATGAGGAAGTAGTTAAAATTGATGGCCAGAAAATACCACAAAGAACGCACTTTCAATGTCTTGGGTCGATAATCCAGAAAAATAGAGAGATTGATGAAGAAGTCTCACATAGAATTAAAACTGGGTGAGCGAAGTAGAGAGTGCAACCGGCATTTTATGTGATCAACACAGACCAATGAAGTTGAAGGTCAAGTTTTATAGGACAGTTGTGATACTAGCTTTACTTTATAGGGAGGAATGTTGGGCGATTAAAAAACAATATACCCATATAATGAGTGTAGCAAAGATGAGGATGTTGAGATGGATGAGTGTCACGATAAAAAGGGACAATTCGAAATTGAATACATTCGAAAAAATTTAGGTGTGGCACCAATAGACGATAAGATGAGAAAGAGAGAGAATGGACATAAGTGGGCTGGCCATGTGTGCCGCAAATCCAACACAACACATATTAGGAGGTACAAGTTAGTTCAAGTGGAAGGCACAAAAAAGGTAAAGGGTACGCAAAAAAGAACATGTTTGGAAATAGTGAAAAAAGATATAGAGATTTATGGCCTCACTGAGGATATGGCCCTTAATATAGCATAATGGTGGACCAGGATTCGTGTAGCCAACCCCAATTAGTTGGGTAAAGAAGGGATAAATTCGAGATTGAATACATTCAAGAAAATTTAGGTGTGGCGCCAATAAGCGATAAAATGAGAGAGAGAGAGAGAGAGAAAGTAAACTTAGGTGGGCTGGCCATGTATGCTGCAAACCCAACACAATACCTATTAGGAGGTCCGAGTTAGTTCAAGTGGAAGGCTCAAAAAGAGCAAGGGGTAGGCCCAAAAGGACATGGTTGGAAGTAGTGAGAAAAGATATCGGGACTTCTGGCCTCAATGAGAGTATGGCCCTTAATATAGTATAATGGCAAACCAAGAGTCGTATAGCTGACCCCAATTAGTTAGAAAAAAGCTTTGACGATGATGACTGCATGGTAAAGTTAATATTCACCCCTACTTTTTGCCAAGTATGTGAATGGATTTATTTTTATGCAATTGGCCTAGATAATTTAATACTTTTTAGTAGAACACAGTTATTAAAATATATTTTGTTCTAAAAACCCCCAGAACAATATAAATCTCTCTTGGAATTTCTATATTCACCATTGGCAAACTTCGAGAACGAGAGTTTCACTTAGCTTATCAATCAAAATCCATGTCTAACTATTCAAGTTGCATTAAGACAACTTAGGTAATTCAGGTTTTAATAGGTAAGCGCCATCCATAAAACCCTTAAAAAAAGAGCTCCCTTGGATAAAGTAAAACAACCCTAATTGTTCATATAGTGTGCCCTTGAATGGGAAGCTCCTTTTGATCTACTTAAGATTGCTCATTCATTGTCACTAGCCTGAACTTACACTTATGCTCCAAACTACAAATTCATGTACTACAGGTTTCTTAGATTTCAAATGAGAGTCTGAAATCCCACATTGAATTAAAATAAGAAGAGTGTATTTGGTGAGAAGAGACCTTTTTTTGCATCAGGAAGCCTTCCTTCTTTCGGAGAGACCAATGAATCCTGGAAGTGTGAGCAAGAAATCAATTACCAAAAACAATGACTAAATACATTTCATGAACTTAGCATTACATGGTCATACCCTTCTGCCAGGAACAAAGTCAATAGTGGGTCCCCCAGTGACTTCCACAGCAACAACCCCAGCTAGCTGCAAATCAGAGTTCCAAAGAAATATTTGAAATAAATGCAATGATGTGAGAATACAAGGAACTTAATTGACATCCAGTGCATATGAGAATCCATGAGAAAAGAGCTCAGTCACAAATTCATGCTTTCTTAAATATTTATTATAGATTATAAATTCATGAGAATCCATGAGAAAATACCTCCATCATAAACCCATCCTAAAAATAGAATTAATCACATAAATTTCACTTATGAGTTATGATTGAATTCCCTAAATCTCAGCTTATTCCAATAACAGTATATGCATTCATGAGTACTTGGGAATACCACGAAAAAAGAGAAACTCCAAATCAATGAACCTCAATAGCAAGAGCAGAACTCACTGTAATCATAATGCATGCTCCGTAAATTTTTTGATTTACAAACTTGTTTCACCCAAACCATCCCTTTCTCCCAAGTGGTCCACTAGTTCCCTATTTCAGTTTCCTTAACCTAGAAGATAAAATTCTCTCTCTTGCCTATTACCACTGTGGACTCCTCCCAATACCTCTCACGGGCTACACTTGCTCTCCTCTCATTGGTCATGAATGCGATAACATCATTCCTCTTTGTAATAACTTCATGGTAGCCCCTAAATACTCCGTAAGCTTTTATGCGGCACGACATTATAAAGTGTTTGATGCTAGCAAACAAGTTATACCCATCACAGTACAACATCAGATGCATTTCCCTTGAGAAATCTATGCAGTAGGGTTGCAACACAATATCCTTACCGATAGCAATTTGAGATGTTAGAAGATTGTAATATGAATAAAAGGGATGCACGATAGCTGTCTGCGAGAGATATCACCTGATAAAGGTCTGCATAGGTTATTGCCGGATGTCTTTCCTTGATTTCTTCTGCAATCAGCAAAAAAATAGAATTTACAAAATCTGTTACTGCATCAGGTTAAAGATTAGTTGAAATTCAGATATTCAGTTACAAGCAGATAGGGATTTAATCAGCCAATTTCCCAAGTCTACTCTGCTCGGGCCCTTCTGAAGTCTGTAAGCAACTAAACTTCCCAAGGGTGAAAAACAGGAAAGCCACATAAAGACTTCCCGAAGCTTTCTTTGTTAAGACTCAGGCAAGTCACATGGACTACCAAACTTTTAACAGACTCCTACTTGAACCGTATCTACGCCTAGAGAGTTAAACCAGTGAAATTTCAAAATTTATCCAAGTACTACAATAAATGAGTAGAAGCTTATAAACAATGACATAAACTACAAAACCAACCAAAAAAAAAATATGAAGAAAGAAAAAGATGTGACTATAAACACAGTATTTATAACTTGCTTTGGTGAGTCAAAATTCTCCTTGCCATTCAGCCAGCCCAATATTCAAGCAAACTCATTTTCACTCCTGTCTTGGTTCAGCCTTGAATTGACAGGGCCTGTCATCGGTCAACTTGGTTATAGTGCATCAGTTTGTCGGTAGAATTTCCAGGATAGACTTGGAACTTAATCTTCAATAAGGCCCTTTCATTTTTATCCTAAAACCTATTCTCTGATATTCCCAAAACACGTTGAGTGTGCCTCTAAGATCTTGTGTTGCCATAAGAATTGAGAGCAAAAGCGTTATTCAAAAATCAATTTAGGCTTTGGTGGCTGCTAGCCGGGATTGAGAAGGTTCGTTTTTGGGTAAAAACCTGTGGATGAACATAGTGGCCAATTCTCACAGGTAAACAAACTCATCGGTTTCTTTATTTTGTTATTGTTCTTTTGTTTTGTAGTGATCCTGCTATTTGGTATCAGAGCCTTGTTAGAATAAATCATGAAAAAAGTCGATAAAGAGATAAAATGTACTATAGATGTTGAAAAAAGTAGACATACAGGTCATGTAAGAATAGGAGAAGAAACTTTAATAAATATAAGTGCTGCTTTAAATTTTATATAGATGTTATATATAAAATAAAGGAACGAAGTGAAAATATGAGAGAAAGATTAGAAGAAATAGAAGAAAACTTAGAAACGATAGCAATAAAAAACAAAGAAAACAAAGAGAGGAAGCAAAGGAGGTGGCCTACAAGCAAGTAAAAATTCCTATATATGAGAACTCAAAAATGATGAAAATATTCTCTAAAGATAGAAAGATGTGGAAACAACTAGAGGAATTAGCAATGAATTAGTAGAAGAAATAGAAGAAAAAGAAAATTCAAACCCTAAAAAGCAATTAACAGAAGAACAGGTACAAGAATAATATATGAAGACTAAAGATGTCGGGAGAATGAAGAATCTACAAGAAATAGAGAACAAGAAAGTTTATGTAGAATATTATGGAGAATATAATGAAAAAATAGGACAACAAGAAGAACAACCAGGGGAGGAAGTCTACATAGATATAGATAAGAAACCAGAAGACTTTCATAGAACAAGACATCATGATGAGGGTCCTAGTGAAAGAAGAAAAACTTTGTACTATCATGGAAATTATCCAAGTATAATGGGATTCTCTACAGGAGTATATGGAAAAGAAACGAAAACCATTCGAAGGAAAGAATACTATCGTAAACTAGTTCATTACGAACCTATAAATCCTTCAGGAATATATCTAGATTTAGACTGTGTAATAGATAGAGGACCAGCAATATCTGATTGGGAAAAAAGGCTATGGATATAGCTATGTGATAGAACCCTATATGATTGCTCAACAAGCCAGAGATTATATGTTTGATACTTTTAGAGGACAAGCTAAGGATTTTATTAACCAGTATAACAAAACTCAAGATTATAAAACTTGGCTAGCTACAGCTCAAGCAAATAAAGGACCAAAATCTTTAGGAAACCTACTAAGAAGGCAGTTTGTAGGATCAACAGAAAATTATAATAAGCAAGAGAAGATGAAAGCCGAAAAAGAACTAATAAACGCCAGTATATGCTCTACATGCTATTTTTGAAGAATACACATGCGAATACGAAAAATATTACTATAAAAAGAAGAGTTTTCGAGAGAAATATGGAAGAAGATGTATTATCATAATTTAACTCCATCTTGGGATAAATACAGGAAAGGACTAAGAAATTGTTGTGAAAACATATTGGAAATGCAAGGAAAATGAGGATGCAAAATTCAGAAAATCAACAACATATAAGAAGAGAAAGGTTTATCATAAGAATATATATTACAAGGAAAGAAAGTATAATAAGCATCCTTGCCCATCTGGGAAACAACGATCCCAATGCAGATGTTGGCTATATAATGAACTTGGGCATATAGCTACCGAATGTCCCAAGAAAAAACAAACAAAACAAAGATAAAGAAAATTGAAGAAGCAGAGGAAGAAAATCTAGAACCAATATTTGAAAAAGAAATCTTCGATGATAAAAGTGTACATTCTGAAATAGAATTTGAAGAGTCAGATATAGAATCAGAATTGGAAGAGAAGTCCATGATGTTTAAAGTAAGAGATCCGAAATGGGAAGAAGAGGAAGAGGATGATTATAGCTTAATTAGGCAAGCAAATATTATAAAAGAAGAACAAGATAGGTATGAAAATAATCCAATAAAACCAGACAAAATACCTTTCCTTTATGGAAAAAATTTTCAAGAAATAAAAAATTTCTATAGACCCTTGTTTGGATATAAGTTAAAAAAGAGAGAATTGGTATATTTTTAATAGCACATGGATCTGTAGTTTTATGTTTCCTTTATCTATCTGTAATCCTAAAAAATCAATCTCTTACTTTCTTAGTTCTATCTTTTCTCACTTAATATTGATACCATGTTCCTTTAATTCCTTGCTTAAAGCATTTAAATGACATATATGCTCTTCTGTATTTTTTCTAATAATTTCAAATTTTGGATTTCTTTGTTTATTATTCTCACCATGCTGGGCTGCAAGTTTTTAAGTAAAAGGTGTAAATCCTTCTATAACTATTTTATTGGCTTCTGTTAGTATAGGTGTAAGAGCTATTTTGCCTATTGGAGTTGTTTAATTTTTCTTCCTTTTTTTTTTATATGTTAATGGTGGAAATGGAGGGCGGGACGTATGCTTGTTGGAGTTGTTAAGGCTATATAGTCTATTTCTTGAATAAAGGGACTACTTGCTTTTAAAATATCATTTCCCAAAAGGATATCACAATCCTATCCTGCGGATTGCCATACTCTATTAAATATAAAATTTTCTCCTCCTATTAAACATGGCACAACCTCAGCTATTCTACTATATTTAACTATTGTTTCGTTAGCTACTTGGGCTTTCATTATAGTCTTACTTTCTACACAATATTCTTCTAGTATTGGATTTTGTTTAGCTAAGCACATTCATGCTCCTATGTCTATGTAGGCATATAAATGATATTTTTTATATTCAGGAAATTTTAACTCTAGTTTAATATATGTACTATTAGGACTGGTAGTTATTTTTTCTCTATTTTCCTCTAATTATTTTATTACCTCTTCTCTCTTTTTTAACTTATATCAAAACAGAGGTCTATAGAAATTTATTATTTCTTGAAAAAATTTTCCATAAAGGAAAGGTATTTTGTCTGGTTTTATATGATTTTAGCATACGTATCATATTCTTCTTTTATAATATTTGATTGCCGAATTAAGCTATAATCATCATCTTCATCTTCTTCCCATTTCCATTCAATCTCTTACTTCAACCATCATGGACAGGTCTTCCAATTCTGATTCTTTGTCTGACTCTTCAGATTCTATTTCAGAATATACACTTTCATCATCAGAGATTTCTTTTTCAAATATTGGTTCTAGATTTTCTTCCGCTGCATCTTCAATTTTCTTTATCCTTTTCTGTTTAATTTTTCTTAGGACATTCGGTAGCAATATGCCCAAGTTAATTACATAGCCAACATCTGGATTGAAATAAGCACAAGATATCGGATATTTAATTACTCCAAGTAACACAATTGTAATGGAAAGATATTAGGAAGGTCGACTTGGGAACCCCTTGCACCACATTCACCTCCCTTTTCATATGAACTCCTATCTGCAGGAAAAGAGCCCATCCTTAATTGGTTAGCGCTTGACGATTTGCAACGCTACGTCCCGGACTCAATTCCTACTAAGGATAGGGGCCCTCTCCCTACTGATTCACCCAAAAAAAAAAAAAAAACTCCTATCTGCACCTACAAATGACTATATGCACGCATGTATTGATACATATATATGCCTGAAATGAAACAAGTTTGTTTATAATATGAGAAGTAAGTTAGCTGCAACAAATAATAACTTAACAAATTGAAATAAAGATATGATTCAGTGGAATTACTACTCAACAAGCTGAATGGAAGAAGAAATGAGGTTGAGGTCAAGGTGGTAGCACCACCTGTGAGTCAGCTATCGGTCTCAGTTTCCATTCCTACCAATGCTAACCTCTTTTGAAACCTACTGATGGTTTCAAAAAATTGCTAACCCACTACTAAACGTTAATGTTCAAAAAACAAAAAAAAACAAAAAAAAAAGAAGAAAAATAAAATAGAGCTAAATGGAAGAAACTGAGCAAAAGATACAAATTAAGCATAAAGTCATGCACATTTCACTGTTAAATTTTATGATTACTTTTTCTCAAAAAAAAAAAACCTTTATGATTAGCCATTGTCGTTATATAGTGTTATCACTAGGATATATGGTATTGTAGATACCAAAATTTTACATCACATCCATAAAAATGGTCCTTGAACGGGTTATTCTCTTTGTAACCCACTTAGTTGCTGCCAAGGACGAGCCACAATAAACAAGGGTTGCTCTTTATGCACACATTTATATGGATTGACTGCCCCGCATGCCGCTTTTTCCACCTTATAAGTACCAACACATGAAAAATCGGACACAGATGCATTAGTGTTGGACATATATATGGATATGGTATATACATTTATGTTATTGGACCATGTAAATAATCATAGAGTATACCATGAGAGATTGGTGTGAGATTCTTGCATCTAAACTTTTTAGGGCCTTTGGTCACCTTACTTGTTATCAAGCTAAAGGAAAAGGACAAATTTCAAAGGTGGATGTTGCTACATAAGACTTAACTATTTCCTAGAACACAACATACATACTAGCTAAAAATGAAAATAGAACCAAATCTCACCACAGAGGTCGATTGCTATTTTCAGGCCACTATTTGAGCCATGTTTGTACTCTTCTTCATTTCGGATTGAACCATTTGGACCACCAGTATTCGTCTTTGCATCATAAGTACCAGCATCATGCCATCTACGTAAAGAAAATATGTGTTCAGTTACATTGCGTATCACTGCTCTGAATTGAAAAGCTTCCATTTTCCCATGCAGAATAGTACTCAAATCACACTAGTACTTTTCCATTTTCACATAGAGTATACAAACACATAAAGGACAAAAGCAGGACCAGAATAAGATGAAGCATGTATGCCAGGAAAAAAGGCCAAAGATTGGACTTCTTGGAAGTAAGAAGAATCTTTTACTACATTTCTTGTAATATGAAATTAAGATGTGAAAATAAAAGGAGACTAACGTACAAAGACCACATAAACAGGAAAGCCTTGTCATGAAAATATTGTAAATCAACCAAGAGGTTTTAGAAACGCATTCTTCGAGGAATTGTGGCATCTTTGATAACTCCATGGGCCAGCAAATATAATTTTATCTACCATGCTGTGATTAAACTATTCATCTGTGTACAAGAAGCCAATGGGCAACTTTTGGCATAAAACAAGAAAATAGCAGTGCTGATGTGGAACAGGATTGATAGCTTTATGCCTACATACAGTTGTGATTGTCTCTGACATGGAAAGATTGGAAAGTTTTATTACAAAAAGGGTCTCCAAAATACCTATAACACAGACATGCATCAAGTTGCACCAGTATGTGCAGATATTCGTACTTGTAGTACCCTACATGTATAAATTCATTTGGAATATCAATAACACACTTCCCAAGCAAGAATGCGTTATGCAAGAATGCAGAAAAGACCACAGAATAAGTTCATTTATAGGTGGTTAGGCACAGTCGTACATCTTGAACATTTTCTTCATGGTCGTACACCTTCTTCAGAAGGTGCTTGTTATAAGGAAATGGCAAGGGCCATGCAGGACACAGACGGCAGGATTGAGTACTAAAACTGTCATCAATGAACGAAACCTCAGCACATGACATTCATAAAAGTTGTCTGAGTTGCTTCACCTCCTTGATCAAACATGGCATAAATACTGCACCAACATGTACAGCTTCACCAGATCAGATCCCTTGAAACTACAAGCCATCTCCTTGAAGCTGAAGCCCGCTAACCCACACCCTTGGAAGCTTATTCCTCAGCAGCTGAATCCATGGTTTAAGAACATGCACTCAGCCTGATGACTGGATGCGTCCCAAGAGGATCATCCAGGTCTCGCTGAGACTCGACCAACTCGGTAGTGACCTTAGGTAAAACTTGGTTTAACCTCTGTTGGTAAACCAAGAAAATCAACTACTAGGTCCTCTCATATGTTAACTCAATATTGTCCTTGCCAATTGGCAAGGCCGTCATTGTGATGCACAACACCAGTATTCCTGAAAATAATGCCAAATGGTGACACTAGTAGGCATGGCCCTATACCGCTCCGTAAGTGACTTCAACTATCTCACCCAAATGAATGCTATGAGACTCAGTTTTTATTTTTGTCATTGTTAACAAAGAAAAAGGCAAGAAAAACTCAAACAGCTCTCGGATCACAACTTGGGCATGTAAACTCAAAGCCAGAGTTAATTGAGGAATAAGACTGTCCTCAATAATAGAATATCGTCCTAACTCTCACCTGGATGAGAGAGTTCATCTAATTGGAAGTAAGAGAATCATCCCCCCAACCTAGGAATCTTCCCCATATTATAGCTAGTCTCAAGGGGTAGAAGTACGGCCTCCTAGGCCCATCTAATAATTTTATGCAAATCATCTCCACAATAAAAGGAGATGATGGCAAAGCTTAAAAAGAAATCCTCCTTAAAACTTGATAGAAAGACTCCTGCTACAATCATCACTTATCATAGGCATTGGGTCACCAAATGTAGGTCTTGAATATTCCACTCAAGCCATTAAGACCTCCTACATCTGACTGTCCTATATTTCCCAGGGAACTGTCATTGAAATTGAGCCTTAGGAAGCTTTTAGACAGTTTGACCCACCTTTTGCACTCTAGATCCACCTTTCCAAATCCACATTGCAATTTTTTCTATTATCATGCTTCGCCCATCAGCCATTCCAAAACATTATCATTTTAAATCAGATTACATGTGTACCCCATGGATCTACCTCACTAATGTTTCCCTTCAAGCTCTCAACTTGAGATTGCAAACACTTGTATTACTTGCTCTGCCCATATACAAATACTTCAAGACATAAAGAAAAAGGAATATTCCTCTATCATAAAGCCTATTATTTGTACCTCCTCAGAATGCTCTAAGTAAAGACCTAAAGATCCATGATACTTAAGAACATGTGATGTTCTAATCTAACCCAAAGGCACAAACTTGAGGTTGGATATGCATATTTAAGTTTCCAAATATTAGCAACTGGTAACTAAAACCTTTATATGCACCAATTGTAACATCATCTAAATTAGTGAAAAGGACAAGAAATGTTTTAGCATTAAATACAACAAACTAGACCAAAAATTAACCACTGAATTCAATTGTTCGATAAGTAAATTTAATTGATGGATTGCCGTTCATAACTACTAAAATATGGATTGCAATAAGTTGACAACTTTGCAAAGAGGAACTAGCGAACACAAGTTCAAACTTCTAAACTCAGAACTGAATTTAAACCTATGAAGAAAAGCATTAAATCCCACTTCAATCTTTATGAAAGTCTATTTCGCTTTTTATGCTGATGCCTGGACGCATCCAAATCAATTTCACTCACTCAAAGGCCAAGTCAGTCATTGATGACTTGGCTAGCGATGCTATTTTAAAGAGTTTGGATAAGTCAAGTTAAATCCAAAAAATCTGGGACATGAATGGTTTGGTACAAAGGGAGAAAATACTAGATTTTATTGCTCATGTCCTTAAATATGTCTAGATTAACCCCTAGTTTGGCTGCCGCATGTTATCTTGTCCATAACCATTTTGAGTTCCATGGAAATGCGGCCCTTTTGTAATTTGGATTAAAATTGCTATTTGCTAATTTTCTGCACTCACAGTTTTTCTAGTGTGTGCACACCTAAACCAGATCTAAAAAGCATCATCCAAGGAAGGCCCTCAAATATTTTCTGTAGATCACCTAAAATGCCACCCCAACAGCACTGATACACATTTCCAGGCTGCATCCTGAAGAGGCCTTATATAACAATCTCATGCTAAACTCCTTGTGTGTGAATGTGCAAACAAGCATATATTTACACTTACATTAAAGAAGTATCACCTACCTCCGAGGTAAAATAATAAACTTTACTAACTTCCTCATGAGTAAATTGACCTCATAAGAAGTGATATAAATGACCACATCACCATTCCTATTACTCGGACAACTAAGAGTACCGCTCAGACAACTTATAAAACAAATAGGCAAGGTATGCACAGCACATGCCTTCAGATAAGTGTATGAGTATTGAAATAATCGAGTTCCATGAGATCCATATATGTATGCATGAAAATGCACAGGTGGTTAGTTCCCTGGTTCTATGGGGCATCAATCAATGCCATATGGCCACAAGTAAAGGGCATAGACTCAAATCACATAAAAATATTCATTCTCATAAGAAATTATTAGTGTCCTTAGAAATGCTTGTGGCAGACTGATCTCTAACAAATACAACCATACCAGTGAATACTTCATATTATTAGGAAGAAATCCTCAAAGTAGAAGCACCCATATCACTCTCAAAAGTCAAAATAGAACTTAAACAGAAAGGAATGGCTGACCTCAATTAACCACGACTGAATGAAAAATGGAAGTAGCTCTGCACAAGGGCATGTAATTTAAAGAATGATTGCTCACTTAATCAAAAATGAAACCTAAACCCAAGAGTAGTTGCTGACCAAGATTCAATCACTAGAACAAAAATGTTACTCAGAACAATTTTAGGAAACATCATATATAACAAAGGTAGCACAGAAAACTATATCCAACACAAATTAATAACAAAATAAAATTTTCCATATGAATCCGGAGTTTTAAACAGGAAAAGTAAAAGGAAATGGGAAGTACACAAGACTGAAACAGATTCGACCCTCTAATTTACACACATTATTCACCAAATAAGAAGCAGGTAAATGTAATGAAGTAGTGATCACGATAAGGGTAAGAAATTGAACATTCGATGATAGGCCAATTCCTCGAAATAGACAAACAATACGCTCCACAGCTCCAATGAGATAAACATAAAAAACGATGCCACCATCTAAAGGCTTTTGATTCAAAGACCAAACCACCCAATAGTCAAAACCGCAACGCTCAAAAAAAAAAAACGTTTTCACTTGCAGTAAATAAAACACATCACATGAATATGCTAGAAAAGAAAAACAAGAATCAATAACAAAAATTAAATACTAAGAAGACAAGCAGAGAAAGGAACTGAAAAGGCTACAAATAAATTTCCACAATGAATTGAACAAATAAAAGGGAATGGTGAAGCTCAATAGGGCAGTAAGCATGTGAAAGAAAATATGCAAAGGCGAACTTTAGAGAAGAGCTTAAAACAGAGAGAAACAGAGAGAGGGAGAGAGAGTCAATACGCGAGACGGAGCATGATGGGGGCGCAGTTCTTCTGGGCGATCAGTGCTCGGAGGTCTCGCCGTGCCCTGTCGACTGCTTTTCGATAGGCAGCATCAACAACTGGTCTGGCCATCACGATTTCTCTTCTCTCTCTAAGAATTCCTGACGAAACTCTCTCTCCCTAGAATTCTCTGTAATGAAAGATGAAACCTAGGATTTTCTCCTCCTCTCTCTGAGAAACCCAAAAGGGTAAATGGGAATGCAAGAATCTTGCTCTGGGATCAATATGAAGAAGATGGAAAAGGGATCGCTTTCCTTGGGAGATGTAACAATGAATGATTCGGCGCAAAAGAAAGCGGGAATGAATCTACGACGCAGGGAGATTTTTGTTTTTTTCTCTTTTTTTTAAAACCTATTTTGGAAGGGAAAATCGAATACAGAATGGGATTGGTTTTGAAGTCATCTGAAACGACCACTCGTCATCCACGTTCGGAGACCAAGGTTCAGTTTATCCACTCCACTGAAAATGTAATAAATCATTCGCGACTTTCCATGTAAACACGAACCTGACTAGGAAAAGGGCGGGCCATGGTGTGTATGCTGTGCATTACAGTGAGAGGGTATGCGCCGTTCATTCTAGTGATTTGAACAATATATTATTCGTTGTGACCCACCGTAACGCACCTTAATCTCCCCGCTGGGAAATTTTTTCGTTCATGTAAAACCAATGGTTTAAAAAACGGATCGGTGACCCCGATCGGGCTTCCCAAAAACCGATCCGGATCGGTGATCCGGATCGAGAATTGGGTGAATCGGTCAGAATTGGGTGACTCGGTCAGAATTGGGTGAATCGGTCAGAATAAAATAAGTATATCAACATACATGAACTACAATAAAGCATAAAATTAGTAACATATGATCTAAAAATAAAATGATAGACGACGTTATTGTTCTTCTTGGTCACGCTGGTGCCATTGATTGAATTCGTGTAACAATTCATTGATTCGATCTAAAAACGAATCATCGAT